ATTGAATTGAATTGAATATGACAGCAGCAGCATTATGCCTCATTCATACACACTCAATCAACAAAAGCGAAACAAAATCCACTACAAAGTCCACCTGAGTGACTCTGTAGAGTGGACCTGTAAAGACCTAGACTTTTTATTCTACTCCATTTATTTGATGGCTGACCCTATGAGTGATATATTTTACAGTCAACATGAGAAAATCTAATAAATTATAGCCAGTAGAATTCTTATATATTGCCCTGTGGAAGGCAATGTTGACCACTTTGGTCTATACTGAAATATATCAACAACTATGATGCCATGAGAATTTGCTGCAGATATTAAAAGATCCCGTAGAGAATAAAAACCTTGCAACCGCCACCAGGCGGTATTCGGCCCGCTTCAGCTCACACACCACGCTCCACGCGTGCTTTTGCCATTTTTGGATTAGCTGGGAGCTGCGAGGACTGCCAATGGCGATGAACCACAGCTCCACACTGAGCTTCACAATGGCTCTTCAGAAACGGAATGCCACGAAGACTACAACCATTTTTATTTATACAGTTTATGACACAAACATGTCTGATGTAAAGGAAAATAATCAGTAAACATACCACAGTATGTAGTACCAACTAGTGTTGTATTTCTTCATTTGGCCTTTTGTTTCACATTTACCTGCTGGTCAGTTCTGCTCATAAACACGCTCATAGTGTTTGTGTGCTGAAGTGACTCCCAGTCCTCTGCAGAGTGCTGTAGGGTGTCGGGCGTTGCAGCTCAGGGGAGGAGACACAGAGGTAACCATGGTGCAGAAAGAGCAAACAGGAAGCCTCAGGAAACTGCTGTTCAGACACACAGTAAAAGGAACAAGATCCACTTGGTCATGGAAAAGTAAACTGGAAATGAGCCAAAACTGGAAAATGGAAATGGAGTGATTGCACATGTAAGTAAAGGATCATTACACAGACAGAAATTCATGAGCAAACTGAACACAACCTATTTTTTATGCTCTCTTTTATGCTGTGTTTTGCTCTCATGTGAAAAATAGAAAAAAAGAGATTTCCCTGATACAAGGCTATCACGGTAATAAAGGTCTGAGCGGTACAGCCCTCGATCAACCTCTCCTGCTCTCTGTCTCTTTCTTCAGGGAACCCCGATCACCTCAGCTGCATCATGGCTCAGAAAACCACATCAAATACAGTCCCCAGACTTGTTGTCAAGATCGTAGGCAGCAAACAGGTCAAGCAGTTTATTGAGGAGCCACGAGAGTGAGTATAATGACAAGGCTGACTGTGTTTATTTATTCAGTGGCTGGAGAAAGTTCCTCTCACAATGTCATAAGCTACATATCAAAGACCCAATTCAAACCTGTAGCCCATGAAAGAATGCTTGATTATAGTAAGTTGTTGATTTCTCTTCCTCTGTGAGGCACTTTGTAGCTGCCATTTGGAAAAGTGTCGAACAAATGAAGTTTCTTCTGCTATTTATTAATATTAAGACCTGCAAGCATCCAGTGTTCAACCTATACAAGTGTGATGTAGAAACTTGAATCGTCATCAGACACTGAGAATGGACTTCACAGTGAAGTAGGAGACATCTCGTGTCCAGCAGGAAAACTTTAGAAATGGACAAATTTCGCATATTTGTAGATTCTGGAAATTTTAATGAGTTAGAAGAAGGAGATGCCTTATTAAGGATTTTAATGTGAAATATTAGAAACATATCAGACACACATTATTGTTCCAAGCAGACTATTAATACATGTCTGGAAGGGATCTTTAATCACTGCTTTTGTTTTTTGAATCAATCCATTTTATTTCTTTTTGTAACTATGGCCAATAACATCCCACTGAGGTTCATGTGGGGTTTTTTTTCTTATTATCACACAGTCGTTAATAATTTCTTGTGTAATTTTTTGTTCATAGAGTCATTTTGAAACCCTTTGAAGGTGTGAGTTAATTTGTCTTGCATTAAAGTTACATTTGTGTTTTCCAGAGGGTGAAGCTCTCTTGTTTCACACTCCCCGCAGCAGAACTAAATTCATATTAACTTCACGTTTCCCAAACAGAGATACAGCAGACTCAGAGAAAGAAGAAACCCCTCCAGCTGAAGCTGTACTTGAAGAAGATTTTGAGAAACCTCCAGAAAAACAAGATGTGGTGTCTGACCGGCGGGCGCAGAACAGAGTGGACTCTGCACTTTGGGCTGTGATCAATCAGGTATATGTGTGATTTATATTTATTTATTAGTGTTCAGATCTATGTAGCACCTTTCAAAACAAAGTTACACAGTGATTCACACAGCGAATAAAAGTCAATATCAAAGATATAAAATATAACAGTCGCATAGAAGTAAAAAAGTTCACATAAAAGTTCATCCATTAATTTCTCCCATCTTCACTTTATATACGGTGCGAGTGAGGAAGTGAGTGAGAAAGAGAAGACCAGTATTTAGTAAAAGTATTCCTCTCAAATACAATATATTAACATGGAACCTGCAGAGTACCCGAATGTAGTCTGACATGGAGGAAAATTAGAGTCTCTGAAAAATGGAAATACTCAAGTAAAGTCCCAGAACTTACGATTGAGTAAATGTACTTATTCCTGTGTTGTTGTAGGTCACTTAGGAGAGTGTACACACAGCACACACTCTGCATGGAGGCTTCACTTCACTGTTTCTCTACAGGTCCCCGACAGGCTGTGTGTGACAGCGCCCTCTGGTGATCGCTCCAGGTCCTACATCCACCCAAACACTCGCCACCAAAACTCTGAACCTAGAGCAGCTCCAGCACTGGAGACGACTGAACAGGTTCTTCTGGAAAATATAACCTTAAAAATACAGCTTTCAATAACACTTTAATGCAGTTAAATAGTCATGAATGACACAGAAATGTGTGAACAAAACAATCGCAGATTCTGACCTTTTGAAGGTCATACACCAATGAGAAGCAGAGCTGTTATCTCTACATTTTTCCTGTATATAATGAAGATGAAATACTTTTAGAATTGAATATTCATATTTGTCCTAAAAAAAAAAAAAAATAGTTTTGCCAGAACCATTTCAAGCAGATAAAATTTTATTAGAAAACTTAGACTTCCTTAAATCTTGAACTGAATCTCTGATTCCTGATGATTTACAAGATTAGGGACCAGGCTGCTTAAATAAATCTCAAATTAAGTTCCTAAACCTCCTTTTAGAAAAGCTGATTGAAAAAGTTACAGCTTCACTTTAGTTCCTGAATTCCAAGCACATCCCATCTTAATGAAAACTTTAAGATGCGTTCGAGTTGTACAAGTGTTTGTTTCCTAATGAATACAAAGCAAAATGTCAAAAATGGCCTCATGCTTCTTTATGTCTTCATGCTGCAGCTTCCAGCTCTCTGATCCCACATTCATAGAGCAGCACTGTTGTTCAGCTGGACCGCTGCCTGACTCTTTCTCTCTCTCACAGAAAGGTGTGTCTGAGGACAGAGATAAGGCCGAGCTCTCCTCAGCTGTCAGGGAGGAGCTGTCTGATTGGCAGCTCCCCTCTCTGAGATCAGCGGAGGACGAAGCGGCAGCTCTCGATCTCACTTTCAGTGGGACGCTGGATCGATCCGAGATCACCCGCCTGTTTCTCAAACATGACGTTCCTCTCAAATTACCAACATTTTCTCTGCTTCTCCAAATGTTTTCTGATAAAAATGATCCAATCCAGGTAAGGTGGCAATAACAGTCAGACACCACACACATACAAGATAATTTTCCTGTTTAGTATTGAGCCTGGAAGTCTTATTCTTTGCCACACTACAGGTGGGGCTCCAACACTACAAATGTCAATCAGTGTGACGATCATTGGTCAAGAGTAAAATATCTTGACAGCTACTGGATAGTAGTGCTGTGTATTTAAGAATCTGGCAATATCACCATACAGGGGTTACAGTTCCATATATTGTGTGAACTGTAAGCAAGGCGTTGTATTGCAATTATTTTCTAAATCTAACTTTAGGAAACTGTCGCAGTAACACACGACCATATGTATAAAATCAGAGTTAAAAAAAACAAACCTTTTTATGCAGTGGTAGGACCGTACTTACCTACGTTTTGTGAAATTAAAGCAAAGAGATTATTTTGTAGAAAAATGGAAAATAAAAGTGCTTGTAGGATTCTTTAAATAAACAAATTAAAGCTACAATATGTAACATTTTCACATTAAACAGTGTATAAACTCTAGCTCTATGTTCTATATGTAGTTGAGTTGTGTTCTTACATTATCCCAAATGTTTCCAACAACTCTGAGAAATCTGTCATTTTATTCAGAAGCTGTCATACATTTGACTGTTTATTCCAGGCTGGAAGCCACATTTTACATCCACATGTTTAGATCTTTGGTGCCTTTTTAAACTTCTAGAACTAGAGTCTAGATCAACTAGAGTTGGAAACCTGATGAAGGATTTTTAGCATCGAGTCTGGATCTTTATAAGGAGAAACAAGCTGAGCTAACGTTTAGCATCAGCAGCTCGGCTCGCAGCCCTCCAGGGACGTCTTTGGTCTGTCCCAACAGAAGTGTGGAGAACCAGTGATTTTTAAGGTGGAATGCTTTATTCAGTGTTGATTTAGTGGTTTTTATCAGCGGGATCTGTTTGTTTTGGAGAGAGGAGACCTCCTGTGGGATAATTTGGGCTCCCGGTAGAAACCTCCTGAACCATGAACACTGAACATGCAGTGATTTTCTTGAAATAAATCCACCAAAAGGATGAACATAATTTATTTTCAGAGCACCTTGACCCTCGTGGGTGGATGTGTGAGAAACCTACCTCAAATAAACCACACTTGTTTTTATCACTTAAAGTTGTATATGGCACTCATTTCAGAGGTAATCACTTTGTTTTACAGATTCATTACAGAGATCTCCTGCAGTTCGTAAGAAGTTCTGCATTCCCTGAGGAACTCCACAATGTCAGTGAGGTAAATCCAGTTTTAAAGGTGCAAGATAAACTAACATGCCAGATTCCGTATCCGCTCTATGCACATGATGTTCTCCTTTCACCTCTCCGCAGCTTCAGTGGAGCTGAACAAGGACAGCGCTTATTCACGACCGTCGCATCACCAATCTGAACACGCAGCAAGAAACTGAGCCAAACTCATCTGCTGCGCGGCTCAAAGGGCTATAACTCATTATAATGTGATAGATTGTGAATGAGTGAGGCCGTTTGTCAACCTATATCATATATACGATTATTACACTACATTCATTTGGCATGCATTTTGACTATTTGACTATTATTTTTTGCCGGCGGTGGGCTGCTGCTGCTCATCAGGAGGGATTCAGTGTGAAGTGTGTTGCTCAAGGAAACTGTGGCAGATGCACAGAGCGGACATACAGTAAAGTACAAACACGCTGAACAGAACGAGCCACACAACACACCACAGTTGTTTGCTTTTTTCTTTATTTTTTTGTAGCTTTTTTTTAGATTTAAGATTTTTTCCCTTTTTTCTTGCTATCCCTGCTTTTGGCACTACATACTTAGGGTGACATGTTAGATTGTTTTTAAAACAAACGTCTATTCAAAGCCTTCATCTTGTGGCAAGCAAAGTATGAATACAGCTAATAAAAATAAAGGTTTACATTTTTCCTCCTTACTTTACACATAAAATAAAAACACTTTTTTGGACCCCTTCAAAAATGGGGGTATTAAAATATTTGACATTTGTATCACAAATCAATGTAATGAGACAAAAAGTAAAACATAAAAACTGTACAAAAATGATAAAATTCATTTTAAAAATTCTTGTGATCAAATGATGTAAAGAGTACATAATTTTGAATTTATGTTACTGACCATAAATCTAATTAAAAGGAGATGCCAGTTCACTTCTTCTGTTGGATGAAATTCAGATTTACTTGATGCCGGACATGTGGGACCAGCGGGAAGTTCGGATTTGGATGCACCACAGAACCTGACGACAGAAGAGAGAATCGCAACAGAAAGTCAGAGCCAGTACAAATGGAGAATAGTTGTGATCGATAAGACAAACGTTTATGATGTCTGACCCTGGGTCACGAAGGGCTTGCCGGGCTGGTAGCCTCCGTTGCCCTGCTGGATAAAGTTCTGGGGCATCCGGTAGGGCCAGGATGGAGACAGGGCGTACTGTGGTGCTTTATTGTGCTCCCATAGCCGAGGGCCTTGGCTCACACCTACATACTGGGCTGGGTGGCCCGACTCTGTAGAGACAACATCCAAACACACTCAGTAACAGAACAGAAGCTAATAATAAAAGTTCTGTAATATTCAGTTTGTGTCAACCAACCAGTGTCCCTTCACCAGTGATGTAATGAACCACTGCACCTCATTTAACCCTTTAATGTCTAAAGTTAGCATGTTTTAATTCATTTAAAAATCAACTTCACGTCAGTTTTAGCTTGTTTTTCTCATCTACATCTGTGAATTTATTATTGAGGATTTATTTTGACCAAACCAGAGTTGCTGCTTGTTGGATTGTTGGTTATTTTGAAACTGTGTTGTTGTGCAACATCTAGCAAATTCTGTATATATAAACCTTTAAAGAGAAAGAGGAAGACACAAAGACAGAGTCACGCAGACGGTGCCACCAAAGTTCACCCAGTGAATACCTGACTTGACTACAGTGCCATTTCCCATGAGTGACCCAGGTTGTGCCATGTGATTGTGCCAGTGTCCTTCCCGTCCTGGCCCGCCGATGCCCAGCTGTCTCCCCGCCGGCTGGGCGAAGATGATGCTGGGGTCGTTCAGGTTCATGGGGCTGGAGTTGCCCCCCGAGCCGGTGGGACTCCCGTTCCCCGACGCTGAACGCAGGGCGAATTTCAGTGCGGGCGGGGAGGGGGCGGTGGGAGAGGACGTGGTGAGGACCGGTCCATGGATGGGCCAGGAGGTGGAAGGGATGTGGACTGGGTGATGAGGCTGCCCCTGGGAGTGGTGGGACTGGTGCTGGTGGGAGGGAAGAATCCCCAGTGCGGTGAGCGCCCCTGGGTGGAACTGGCCTGGGTGGGAGGTCGGGAAGCTGAAGAGAGACAGGGGGTGAGCAGGCTGCTTGGGGGGCCCAGCAGAACTGGTCTTACTGTGGGAGGGCTGAGGGGAACTGGAGGCCTGGGACGAACTCTGGGAGACAGCTGTAGACTGCGGGGAGTAGGGCGGAGTCTGCCGACTGTCGGACTGTTGAAAAGAAGAAAGACAGAATTAGAAATCAGCAATCAGACAAAAGCCACATTTTTATTCAAATATTTATGTATTTAACTGTGAAAACAATTCGATTTTAAATTTAAAATAATGTTTGAACACTTGTGCAGGTTTAAAGGGCCAGTTCACCCAAATTAGTTTAGATTTTATTTAACCGCATTTTAAGATATCACTGTCAACTATTTTCATAGGGATCTTTCCTAAGTCCCACCCCCTTTTGTTATGTGCCCCAATAACAGGTGATCAAGCCTTGGTCAACTTCTTCCTGACCAATCAAAAGGGGGCAAGACTTTGGAAAGGATCAACTGACAGGTGCGTAGTATTGTAAAGTCTTGAGTGAAGAAAACAAAAAATCTTGTTCAATGTAATTTTTCGTGTCTCTGGAATAAATTCTGCTGTAATGTCCAACTATTGTACTCACACATTCAGAGGGCTGTCTGGTCCTTCCAGGGCAGTCTGTAGCTGTCTGGGGGATGGGGATGGACTGGGAGCTCACTATAGTTCGTACCATGTGAGGAGCTGGTGGAAGAAAGAGCCATATGAGCAGTTTTATTTAGTCAGTATTAAGAGAGTTTTTAAAACTATAAGTTAATATTTCAAAATAAGTGTATCTGTTACGAGAATTACAGAAATACTATGAGGAATATGATAAAGAAATATTTGTGTGAATTTAAGATACCCGGTGCTCCAGTGGTCCTCTGTTTGAGGTGGCGGTACTCAGGGCAGTCCCTCCGTACGTGACCCATGTCCCCGCACTGGAAGCAGCGTCTGTCCTTCGGTTCACGCTCCTCCTCTTTTATGTCCTCGTCTTTGTCGTTTTCCTTCTTCTTAATCCTGGCAGAGGAAAAGTTCAGGGTTCAGCATAATAGGGATGAATATTAATAATCATGACACATTCAGTATAAACAAACACGTAAATAAAGACAAATTACAAAAAGTATGTGCTCAAACTACCCAGACATACTGTAACTTACAAAAAAAGTTCGGATTTTAATTGAAATAATAAAGATTTCAACACAATTCCTACATAGTAACTGTACTTTGTGTAACAGTTAAATCGTGATACAATGTCGTTTTCTGTAGCAGACAATGTTATACTTTATACTTTCACTTTTGCAAAGGAAATACACTTTATTTTACCCAGTTCATACCCCACCTCAGAAATAAGGGATTAACAAGAATATATTTGTAGATTTGTGTCTGAGAAATAAAGGAATCTTTTTCGAAATTTCCTTCTACAGCCTGGTGTTGTAAATAAAAAAAAACTGATCATTGAAAAAGAAAGCTACTGATCAGCTTAACCTAACTTACCCTATGTTACTTAGCTGCAGCGTCAGGGGTAAGTAATTCTCTTCCTGTCGCTGGTCTACTCGTTTCTCAACCCTGTCATCTGTTCTTTGTTCCCACTTCGATAACTCTGAGAGGTTCTATAAGTTTCTTTGTTTCTCTTTCCTTAACCCTTAACAGCCTCTTGTCCCGTGTCTCTATTTTGGAGGTTTTATTTTTGGTGTTTGTTGGAAGTAATAATGCTGACAGCTTAAAATAAAAATCATTAAAACTTATTTTGGATATATTGGAGTACTGTGTATTAACTTAAATCAAAATTACTAATAACTTTAATAACTTAAAATGTTCTACTAAGCCTTAAAATAAAAGCCTGGTTGAAATTAAAAAGAAATTAACTTCATTAATTCATGACTTTCTCTCTTCACAGCTGCTCTATGATGGACACTCATTGTTAGGAAGTTAACTGACAACTCCTGGACTGGAAAACATAACTAAAAGCTACAATGATGCAATATACTTCAAAATACATAAATATTTTTATAAAGTGGAACTAGCTATTTCCTAAGTACCTCATTTTGTAATAATGACATTTAATGAACCTGCTCTAGGAGGCATTCATCGAAACTTTACTTAAACTTTACGTTACTGTAGCCATATCAGCCATATGCTTGTTTTTTGTATTGCTCCCTAATATGTATAAAACAGCAGTACTGCTTTAAAAAAAATGCTCATATACATTTTAAATATACTTTACATTGCTAGAAAAAACAAAAGTAGAATTTATAACACATTTATTACTTCTCAGTAGTTTCTTTTAGTTTTTCTTGGATTTCTACCGGGGTGAGAGAAATATTTCCATGTACGGAGAGGGGACAACCTGCGTCTCTTTGGACAGTCCTTCATGTAATGTCCAATCTTCCCGCAGATCCTGCAGCACCGGTCATTGGGCGCCAACTCGCCGTCTGTTAACACCTTCGAGTCAAAGAAGTAGTCCTGCAGCAGAACACAAGAAATTTAACGGGGTCCTGGCAGCAGACTGCATTCATATATGTAACCTTTTGTCCAATTTGGTTGATTCATGAATAACTTACCACTTCAGTGCCGGGGACGGGGTAGAACGGAGTTCCAAACAACTTTCTCCCATTAATAAAGGCCTTCATGATGAAGTTTGTCACTAGAGGAAGCAAAGAAGAAACATTTTCACAGTCTTAGAGGCGGCTGAGATTAAATTCATTCCAATATCAAACTAAATAATAAACTGATAAAAAAAGGCTTGAAAGTACAAGTGCGTAGGATTTAGTGGCATCTAGCAGTGAGGTTGCATATTCCAAGTAACTGAAACCCCTTGACTTAGTCAAGCACAAAGTTGAAACTACGGGGGCCACCAAACTCCCAAAAAATGGTCCCATCTAGAGCCAGTGTTTGGTTTGTCTGTTCTAGGCTACTGTACAAACATGGCGGTTCAACATGCCAGACTCTGTAGGAGAGGACCCGCTCCCTCTGCATATAGAAACAGCTCACTCTAAGGTAACAAAAACAGAACGATTCTTCATTTCAGGTGACTACACACTAATAAAAACATACCTATGAATATTATATTCCATTCCTGCCAATAGATCCTCCTAAATGTTACACACTGGACTTTGAACTACCAGAGAGCAGGTGTATTTGGTAAAAGAAGAAAACATCTCTGACTCTATAACACAACAGAACATACCAACAATCCCAAACCTTTTTATTTTTATAAAACAAATTGCCTTTTTGAATATTTTACACCAGAAATATCAGAATGATGCTGTCGTGTTCAAAAAACATATTTGTTTTTTAATTAAGTA